CAGCCGTCCTGGGTGGTGCAGAGCTCCGGGGCCTCCGATGGAAAGACACCCAGCAGAACCAACCTGCAAAGCACACCTCGCTGCTCCGTAGCCCCAGAGCAGGCAGGGCCCTGGGAAGGAGGGTCTAGGACATCGGGAGTCAGAAACAGAGCAGCGGAAGCCGAAGGAACCACAGGGCTCTCCAGAGGAACCTTTCATAGGAGGGTTCCCCCAGGCCCCACAGGGAGGGCGAGAGCAAGCCTGTGCCTGGCTCTCCCTTCCATCCTGAGTCCCAGGGGCGGGAGGAGGGAACGGGGAGCCCAGAGAGGGTCAGAGGGAGGCGGCAGGAGCTGGGCCTTTCATGGCTCCTCTCTGTCAAGCTGCCCCACTAGACCTCGGTCTCCTTGTCTGTGAAATGGGCTGCACAGGATTCCTGAGATCGGTGTGAGGAGCCTGGCTGGGTGGGTGGAAATCAGACCAGTTCTTACCCCAGCTTCCTATGAGCTCACTGCCTGCGTGTCCCCAGCCACAGGGACTTCCACAGCGGTGTGCCTCACTCAGTGGACCCCCCAATGGCAAGTCGCTATTTTCTGGACCCGCACATTTCCTCCTCTAAGACTAAGAAGTGGGGGCCAGATGGGTAGGGAAGAGGGCAGAAGAGCGAGGCTGGCTCTTGAAATGGACTCATGAAAACTTTGAGTTATGGGTGGTTGGGGAGGCGAGGGCGCGGGGCTCAGGGAGGCACTGGGGCCCAGGGTCTGCCTGCCCTCCTTGCAGTATGGCCTTTCCTCCAGGAGAGCCCGAAGCACCCAGGGTGGACGCACTCTGCTGCTGTCCATAGCAGCCTTGCCCAGGGCCAGCTCCGCCATCGGGTGCTGGGCAGTGGCTGCAGGAGGCCCCACGGCCTAACCCTTGGCCTAACCCTCCTTCCCTGGAGCAGAGGTTTGAGCTCCTTGGGTGGGGAGGGGGAAGGGAGGGGAAGCCCTTGCAAGTCCCGGTCAGGGCCCGCAGGAGGAACTGGCCAGAGGTCCGGGTCAGGAATGGAGCTGGGAACTGAGGCTGACCTCCCCACCCCCAGGCCTGAGGACCCAGTCTGTGTGGGTGCAAGATGGGGAGGACCTGGAAGCTTTATCGCAGCCTTTGGCTTAAAAGAAGCGAAAGCCTCATTCACACACAACAGAAGCGGGTTTGGAGGCCTGGTTACTCCAGTGTGGGGTCTGTGTGTGTTTAGATTTAGGCAGCCCCCCCCATTCCTACCTCCCCATCCCCCCCATTCCAGCGCCAGGGAGGAGGGGGCCGTCTTAGAAATTGTCATCCGGAATCTAAATGTTTTGATTCAGAGGATTTGGTGAGAACAGACACCCCTGAACAGACGTGGGTTACAGAGCTAGGGCCTTTCTATACACAACCCGAAATAATGTCGTTTTTTAAAAAATAGACCCAGTTTTTAGATTTCGGGCTTTTGTACCCTCTCCCATCTCCACTTGGGAGCCTGCCAGGCCGTGAGCCTGGGTCCGGAGGGGAAGCTCAGCCTGGTGGGGGAGGTCTGGGCCGAGGGTGTGCTCAGGGCTGGCACTGGAGGCGGAACTGGAGCTCAGTGCAGCTTATTCAGTCCGGGGGACTCTAGGTGCACACGGCGGCCTGGCCCGCTGTCGGAGGCCTGGCCTGCTGTTGCGCTGTGTCGTGGCCGATGCTCCATCCCACCCTTAGTTCTGAGCATCAGAGGTAGGGGATGGGGGTCTTGCATCTGTTGTCTGACTGCTGACAACACAGGCCAGCGCAGCAGGGCGAGCTGGAAGCCCCCTTCCCTCCCCTACCACGGGTGCTTGCACGGCTTTTTGGGGGCACCCCTACCTACCACCCCCCACACACACCTGGTCCCTGCTGGGAGCCAGCATCTAAGGCAGGAGAAGGGTGAAGAGCAGCAAGGCCAGAGGCCGGTGCTCTTCACACACAGTCTCCCCAGCCTGCTGTCTCGGGGTGGAGGGGGTGTTGCTCAAGCCCTGCCTGTGTGTGTGTGTGTGTGTGTGTGTCTGCACCTCTAGCACCGATGGCACTTGGGTGTTCACATGTCTGTTTCCCTCTCCTAGAAGCTGAGCTCCTTGTGGGCAAGACCCGGACTTATACATGGGGATTAAGGGGCTCATGGGGGGAGTGACAGGCAGTAGATGCTGGCTCCCCTTCTTGGGGAGAGGACGGATGGCAGTGGAGAAGCAGGTCCAGCAGCTGCCCGTCCTTACACCACCCCCCCCTTCTTGACTTTGGAGTGTTTGCAAGTGGAGAGTGAGAACTTGTGTCTTCAGATGGCCCCCAGTCATGGGGAGGCCAAGCTCCCCCGTGTCACATCCCCTTTCTGGGAGAGGGGGTGATCCTGGGGGGAGGGGGGCAGAGGCGAAGGCTGAAGGCAGGGAAGGGGTGGGAGAGGGAGAGGAGGCCAGACCACGGGGTGGCAGCCGCAGCTGGACTGGCTCTCCGCTTGGCACCTGCGAGTTTAGCTCATTCCATCCCCCAACACCCCCACTTCACAGGTGAGACGTAAAGGCTGCTGGCCAGGGCACCAGCCCATCCAGGCCGGCCCAGCTGGCATGTGTAAAGGAGGGAGGAGGCAGGGAAGGTGAAGCCCTGGTGTCCCCTGGGAAAGCGTCTTATTTGTGTGGCCCTGGAGGCCCGGTGGGTGCTAAGAGCTGGTTGCTGGCTGACTGAGCGTCGGAAGGAGGGACCTTAGAAAGCTTCCATGGCAGTGGGGGGCGGGGGTTTACACTGAGCAGCGAGCCCAGCTGAGTGTAAGGCGTGGGCGCCCACAAACCCTGGACGCAGAGGGAAGGGGATGCCTGGGCCCTTTCCCCCTCCCCCCTGACCTGGTGGGATTCCCAGCGGCGGTTTCCCTGCTGTAGGCCAGAGGGACCCAGACCCTGGTGGCTGGGAAGCCACAGGTGGGCTTAGGACTCTGGCTGGGCTGCTGCCCTCACTGAGCGGGAGGCTCCCAGGTTTGGGCAGGACAGCCGGCCACAGGCGGACACTCTTGGAAGAGCTCAGCCCCCCTCCCCCATTTTTCTTTCAAAGCCCTTTGTTATGTCCAGATAAGGGCCACGCACACACACACACAGCACCTCACTTTTGGGGTACATACTGGTTACAAACCTTACTTTGTTAATCTTGCCTTCTGCCCAAAGTAGGTTTTTATAGGCCGAGTAAAAAGGCCTCGCCCACTGTGGTTTCTAATGGAAGAGCTGGCAGCCCTCACCCCGGGTGGGGTGCACAGGGGATCCTGGGTGGGGTGACACAGGGCGGGATGCAGGGGAAACTTCTCGCCCCCACCCCGCCTCCACTCGCACCACCAGGGCTGGAAGGAGCGTTCTGACCACGTCTCCTCCGGCAGGAGGCCCTGGCCAGCACTGGGAGATGAGAGTGAGGGGAGGGACAGGCTCTGCAAGTGGCAGGTTGTCTGAATTCCTCAGAAATTGTCCAGGGCACCCCATCACCCAGGGCACGTTCCCAGGTGAGGCCAGAGCCTCCCACAAGGCTGTTAGGGGGGGCCATTCCCAAGGGTGTAGACCTTCCCAGGTCACTGGGCAGGGATCCTTCCAGAAGCCAAAGCCAAGGGGACCACCGAGCCCAGAAGGACGGGAAAGGACAGTTACCAGGGCGCATCTGTCCGTTTTCGGAAAGCTGAATTCCTGGGTCTTTATGAAATTCTCCATTCAAGCCTGGGCGTGGGGGTGGGGTAAATTTTGTCCTTTGGGGTGTGGAGGCCGCGCTGCCACTGCCCATGGACAGGCGTTGGGGCCGAGGGCCTGCGGTCACCCCTGGGAGGGGCAGGGCGGGACAGGGGGAGACCCAAGCGCCTGCCCCAGACACTCGCCACCGTCCATCACTCACCACCGTCCTCAGGGGCTTTGGGACCGCGGACCCGCAGATTCTCTGTGGCTGCGACGACGCCAGGTTCCGGGCTCTGGTCCCCAAGAGGGACGCGCAGTGGGCAGGGAGCCTCTCTGGCCCGGAGCTCACCGCCGGGAAGGCGGACGCTCCAGCGGGACCCACAGCCACCCTGCACGGCCGTCCACCCGCAGCTGGGGGTGGGGGGGCGCGAGGGGCCGGAGTTGGGCGCATTTTCCATGGAAGGGAAGGGGCCGCAGGCGGGCGGCGGCCGTGGGGCGCAGCACTAGACCAACGGTGTGTTCCCCCAGGTGCCGGCCTCACCTGGAGGCGCAGAGGGAGCCTGGGGCCTGGTCACAGCCTGGCCGTGGGCTCCGGGAGTGTCTGGGGAAGGACCCTCTCTCCTCGGGGCTCCCTGCAGCACCCACAGCCTCTGGGAGGTGATGGGGGCGCGGAGGCCTGCGGTGGGGCTGATAGGAAACGGAGGGGCTGTTTCCTACTTTGGGCGGAAGGCAGGATTAATTAAGTAAGGTTTGTAACCAATATGTGACAGCAGACACCTCCCCGTTAGCGTCCAGTATATAGGGGCTCTCGCAGCGTCTGGCCAGCGCGTTTGGAGCTGCCCCCTCACCCAGGAGCCCCAGGTAACCTTCGTAACCTTCCCTCCGCAGCTGGGACTGGACAGAACGGGGCTCCGGGGACCCCTGGGGGTTACTGAGGTTGAAAAAGGTTTTTATTTTATTTCATTTTTAAACAGGAGAAGCTGCCTCCTGGGGCGCGGGCCAGTGGGCGCCTCCTCTTTGGGGAAGTGCAGTCGCGGGCGCGGGGAGTGGGGAGGGCCCAGGGCCATCCTCACGGGTCAAGTCGGTGTCCGAGTTTGGAGGCGAGGACGGCAGATTCGGTTGCTTTGTGGCATTTCACATAATAACAGGCAATCTCAGAGCCGGGAGCATGTGGGCGGCCCACGCCAGTGACGGGCCAGGCGAGCTGCGGGGCGGGAGGGCTGGGAACCTGGCCTTGGAGGGAACCCGCCCCGGCCTTTTGCGTTTTCATTGAGGCAGTGGGGGCTGCCGGGCGCCCGGAGTGACGGGTTTGGGGCTCGGGCAGGCCCTGCTGATTACTGATTTGCTCTATCCACCCCCCCCCCAGGTCTAGGAGACGCGTGGGGACAGCCGAGCCGCACGGGGCCCCTGGACAGTGTCGCCAAGGAGCTGGGGTCGCACTTGCTGCAGGTAGGGGGGTGCCTGGGGGAGGGGTCATGGCTTCCTGGACTGGGTGGTGCTGCCATGTGACCCCAACACCCGTGTAGCGGTTTCTTCCCTCCCCTAAGAGCAGGAGGGGACCCACAGGCGGCCACCAGCTTCAGAGGCAGAGGCAGCCCCCAGGCGAGAGGCGGTGCCCGGACCTCGGAGCCAGCGGTTCCTCACCTGCCAGCCCTGGCACCCGCACCCAGGCGGCCGGACCTTGTGGACCCAGCTCAACCAGAGCCACCCTGGCCCAGTCCCACACTGTCCATCAGGCCCGGGGACGCTATCTAGGCCTTAGGGCGCCCCTGGGCTTGATTAAATCCTTTTCAACCTTAACTCTCCCGCCCCCCAACATTGTTAGGGAGCCTTGCTCTGTGCCTGAGGCTGTGCCAGGCGCTGGAGCCAGCGGAGCAGGTCAGGGCGCTCTGAACCAGAGTTGTGTGTGTGGAAGGGTTGCGTAAAGGAGAGACCCATGGCTGATAGAAGATTAACAGCCGGGATTTACTGAGAGTTTGTTACGGGCCAGATTCTGTTCTAAATCTTACTGCATCTCTGGCCTCCCCACCACCTAGAATGCACTCTATTCTGAACTCCATTTTTTTTTTAAGAGGAGGCAGTTGGGGCACAGGGAGGTTAAGCCACACGCCCGAGGTCACACAGCAAGTGGGGGAGCGAGGTCAATCCAAATGGCCCGGTGCTTGAGCCGTGGGCTGAGGACGTGTGCAGCCTCCGGAGGCGCCTGGCTCACGGAGGGAAGGAGCCCTTGCTGGTTTGTGGCCAACCACTTAGCGCCCCCAGTTCAGTCCTCAGCTCTTAGCTGCCCCGACCTGGGGTTCCCCCCCGCCGGCTCGGGGCGCACGGCTGGCCAATTCCAGGGCCAATTCCGAGTCGGCGGCTGGGGCTGGGTTTCAGTCTTTCAAACGCCCTTTCCAGAGCCTCCTCAACGACCCATTCATTCCCCTCCGCCCGCCATCCGTCTCTGCCACCGAGAAGTGCCTGCGAGAGCCACTTTGCATTTCCTCCTGCTATTCTGTGTTTTCTTTAAAAGAGAGAGAAAAAGTTGGCGGCAGGACGCGGTGACTTGGGTCGGAGTCAGCCGCGAGCTCCGCGTTGGGAAAAAGCAGATCTTTTCAAAGCTCGTTGGCCCGAATGTCCGAGTGTGATGGATGTTTTGAAAATGCGTGCGCCGGGCAGCGCGGGTCCGGGGATGTTTGAAACCTGAAGCTCTGAGGACGCGGCGAGGGTGGAGGCCACGGGTAATGGTGCTCCTGGAGCCCGTCCCACCGACAGGCCCCTCCGGCCCGGCCCGGCCCCGGCCCCGCGGTATTTTCCATGTTCCATGCTCCTGCGAATTATAAGTGACACTAATATGGGGACAGCTAAGTGCCTGGGAGCCCCGGCGAGAGCCTGGCGGCAGAGTCAACAGACTCCGGCCCGGCCGCCGCCCGTTCCTTTAGTTAATTCCGCGGGGAGCGCGGATGCCGCCCCGGCTGCCTGCACACACGCAGGAGGCCGTGAAGCCGCACGCAGCTTCTCCATCAAGGATATTATTTTTAGCTACTGCTGGCAACCTGCAGAATTTGATTATGATAATTTTTCTTTTACTCATATGGCTCCCTGTCCGAGACGGTTTCGTTCACGTCTCTCTTTAAGGATTTCGAAGTCAGGCAAGAATGCAAAATGTGCCAAACGCGGACAGCTTTAGAAAGCGCCCTGTCGTTGATATTTGTGAAACGGCTGCGTTTAACTGGGGTGGGGGGGGGAATGTTGTAGCCGAGTTAGAAACGGGGAAGTCAGGCTTCTAATCAAGATGTTGCTTTCCACCTCGGCGGAGGGAAAGGGAATGAGAGTTTAGTTGGCAAAGAATTTTTGCAACAAAAACTCTGTTTGAGAGAGGAGAATGTCCGGGCATCTTCCAAGTTTCATTTCTGCTACATTCTTCTTAGGTCCCCCTCCAAAGGATGGGGGGTGGGGATTTAGGAAAAAAAGCCAAAGGTAATCTGGTTTCAATTACATGCTGTAAAAATAGAATTTGTGGCCAGAAATTAATTTGGAATATTTTTTATGGGGGCAGCATTGTGGGTTGTATGGATCTTTCACCAATTTTATTGCTTTTCTTTGGTCCTGGATCTAAAATATGAATGGGTAAATAAAATGCAGTTTCCTTTTTCAAAAACAACTTAGAGGTGTTTTTTTTTGTCCTTGCCACACATAAATATGTTCAGGACCTTTTTATTTGTCTTCATTACCTCTCATAATTTTACTTTATTTTTTTGAGGGCTCTCCAACGCTGGCAAAATCAGAATACCTCGTAGGTCGTTTTAATTTTTTCAGAAATTGATACTTCTTCCCCTTGAATTTTGCAAAGGTTATTTGAGATAATTAATTCTGTAGACATAGTCTGTTCAAATAACCCGGTATTTTCTTTTCTGGGGAGTGGTAGTGTTTGGAATTTATTATTCAAATGGTACTTAGCGGTAACTAGAAAATCGTGGCAAATAAAGCATATGTCCTCGCGGTATAAACACTGCCAATTATGACATAAAATGGTCTATATAGTGGTCGATTGTCCCCTAAGTACCATAGAACTCCGGATTTGTGCTAAGTGCTAAAATAACCCCAAACAATAAAGCTACTACATTTAAACTGGGTATGACAGGAATTCTCCCAGCGTTTTTTGCCTGATTTTTGCGATGTGCGTGTAGGACTGTTTTTACAGCGCTTTAAAGGCGTTTGAAAGCCTGGTGCGGGGACTGCGCTTGGAGTGGTGTAACTTACAGCCCTTCCAGGCTGGGCTGTTTTCTGCGTTTGACAAATACGCGTTGGCGATAACATTTTATACAACCCTCCTCCATCCCCAGAGGGGACAGTTAGGAGGTTTAACCCTAGCGTGGACCTGTCATCTCTGACCGGACACTTTTTCTCTTTCAGACCTTGGACGGCTTTGTTTTTGTGGTGGCGTCCGATGGCAAAATCATGTACATTTCGGAAACAGCCTCCGTCCATCTGGGCCTGTCCCAGGTAGGTGGTCCCTGCGTCCATGTGCAGCCTCAGTGCGAAGCGTGTGTTGGTGGAGGACCCAGCGTGACCATGTGTTCCAGCACCTGCTTTGGTGAACAAGCAGGACCCCAACTCGCCAAACCCTCTTCTCGGGCCATCCCGCGGACTTTCCTTCCCCGTGTTCCCTTCCTGTTTCCTGTGGGGTTAATGACCAGCCCGTCCTGGTGTCCTGGCGACAGCCAGCCTCATCCCGAGGTTCCGCTCGGTGGCCGGGACCCTGTGAGTCCCGTGGGCTCTCTGTCGCTAGCAGGGGCTCCACGGGGGCAGAGTCCTTGGCCCATGTTCGGTGGCCTGCACGCAGGATTGTCGTTGCTGTGAGAGCGAGTGGAGAGCTGGTGGAGGACGTGGATTTTATGCAGCATGTGCCGTGGGGAGAGAGCGGGGGGTGGGGGATTTATGAGTGTTCACATGGAATTCAGGGTAATTTTTCCTGAGTTTTTCCAGTTCAGCGGTCGTTTCAGTAAAGCATTTTATATGCTTGTGATAGAAACTCATAAAACGCAGTTTACTACTGTTTTGCACAGCAAGGTCCTGGTTGCCTTAGAACATTTAAATATTACTGATTTTTCTGGAACCATTTTTTAAAAAGGGGCTCATCCCCCAGAGGGAAGAACGGCACTCGCTTTCCTTATCCCGGTCCAGCGGGGGCTCGCGGGGGAATTTGGCTGCAGCCGGGGCAGTGGGGTGGCGGGTGGGTCCGGATGGGGGGACGCGAACGGATGGTTGCCACTCCGTTTCTGAGTTAGCAGGTGTGGAACAGGGTTCTAAAAGCCACATTTTTTCTTTTTTAACATACGGGGACTAAATGTTTCTTTAGGTTGGGAATTATCAGAGCGCGCTTTTCCATCACACTAGAATTAATCAGATGCAGGAAATGGGCTCCCAGGAGGCCCGTGAATGGTTTGTGTTGCACCAGCCCCTTGTGTAGTTGAGCCAAAATAAAACGTGCCAACTAATGGGGCTCCGGTTTTCTCATTGAGAAACGAAATCACCAGCTTGGAAGTCGCATCTGGTGTACCCCTTTTCTTTGGCTGCCTTTACATTTTTTTTAAAACCTGTCATTTGTTTACAGCCTTCTCTTCCAGCGTGTGCCTATCCTATCCCCTGCGCCTATGTGTTTTTTATGCAGAGTTCTTTAAAGTGGGTCTTCTCAGATCAGAATCCTTTGGTGTTTTCTTTTCTCTTCTTTATGAAACCAGGTCTCCCAGATAAGATTGACCAGGGCTTGGCTCTTACAGTGTGACTCCTGAGAGTAGTGAGCGTCCTTGTAGAATGAAAAATACTGTTGGAGACATGAAATTTACTATTTTTTTTCTATTTTGCAAAGTTTTTATTCTCTGAATTTCGACCTGGCACTATTTATAATTATTTAAGACCCTTTACTTGTGCCCAGCTGGTTTCTATTCCTGGCTTGACTTAATTGTTCCAGTCATGATTTATAAAACCTTTGATTAGTCTTATAATGTCACAGACAAGACAAAACATGTCACATACTTTAAAAATGACCAGCGAAACATATTTTAGATTAGGTGAAGTTACTGTTATGGAATAGTAAGGTTAAATCTGAGCTTCCTAGCAGCCAAAGCAAAAAGGGAAATGCATTCAGTTATGTGGTTTTTGTTGTCTGATAGGGCAGCTGTTTAACCTCTGGAGTGATAACTTAAGAAAAATAATTCCTCTCTTTCAGGATTGTGGTACGAAACAAATCCAAGTGCCCATTTTATGTGATGTACAAACTATAGAGAGCTACACAAAGCCAGGCCTTGTCACCATTTCATTAGTTTTGCACTTCAAATAGCACAGAGGTTGCCGCAGATGGCATCCACCCTTTGGTGGGCATACACAGGGCTCTTAGTCACAGGAATGTCCTGCCCATCGCGAGGCACTGTGCACAGACCGGCACATTCCAGCTCATTCAGTGGCTGCTCTCTCTCGAACCCCACACCCCTCCCTCAGTCATTTTTCTCTTTAGTTAACATGACCCAAATATCGGACAAATGACAAATATGCCTCTGCCCATTTTTACCTCCACAGGGGACAGCTGAGCAGAATCACAATTGAAATTACATTTACTTCTGGTCGTAATACAGACATACGATTTTGTGCTGTGATTTTGAAGGGGGCGGGAACATGTTATACACTACCATTTCCCGAGAGAGACTCAGAGGTGCCTTTGGCCTAGATGTTTCCGGAAGTGCCAATCACAGAAAAGGATGTATCAAACTGTGCAGGACAACTGATTTTTTTTTCTTTTTTTTTCCTGATGGCTTGGCAAGACCGCCTCGGTATGGGTCTTCAGTTACAAAAACACTCGGGCGCAGAAGTGAGCCCCTCGTCGGGGGATGTTCTGTGAGCCGTTAAATAAGAACAGCAAACACTGCCCCTCGAGCCCGCCTCCTGCCCACAATTAGCTGGGCAGCAGGCAATCCAGGCAGAATCACAGTGTGTATTTTTTTCTGTCTTCTTCACTTAAATAGTAAAATAAAGTATCGGAGAGGATGTCAAATACCCAACTTCTCGTTAAAATAATTTTTTTTTTTTGCTTTTGGATTATTTTGTTAAGAAAAAGTCAGGCAAATGTATCAGCCACAGAAACTTGATTAACATAGGCTTAATGAATTTTTTCAAATCACCAGAGAGAAAAATGTTAAGAAAATATTACCCAGTAGTCTAAGAGTGACCTTCACATAGGTTTCCTGATGAATAGCGATCAGAACAGCTATCATTTCCAGCTTATGTTTACATAGTGCCCTTCTGTGTTCCGGAACTTGCCACAACTCTCCGTGACCTGGTTTCATTACGTGTGCCATCTTTCCCGTTTCAGGGTGAAACGCCATGCTAGCCGCGTCTGGGGAACAGAAGCCCCTTCCTTGGGTTGCCTTACTGTGTGGTGATTCATAGCAAAGTGGTAGTTTTTTTCCACCCGAACTACCTAAGTAACTATCAGAGTTATCGGTTTGAGGGTGTGAAAATGATTGTGTTACAAGCCCTTCTCAATTCAAAGCCTTTCATTAAACTTTTTAAAAAGTTTGGACTAAGAAATCGACTTTATATGGAGAGTTCTTAAGTGTGTGTTTACTTTTAAATGAGTGAACACAGCGATCCTTACTGTCAAATTTTCATTAAAAAAAAAAAAGAAAAATGACAGAGACAACCGCAAAATGCAAGGTCTCGCCTCGGCCCGCAGCCCAGGTGCTGGGAGACAGAGTCAGCTGCTGGCCGGGCCTTCTGTTTGGTGGGGACACGTCTCGCACATAACGATTCCCAGAGGCCGACGAATCGCCTTGGCAGAGGCCGCGTTCGGAGGGCACTTGGTATTCACGCAAGTTTACTAAGTGGTTTAATTCCATGGTTTTTGGTTACTGTCATTCACTTATATTTGAAGGAAGAAAGCTCCGTGTACCTGCTGTGTGCTGCCTCCAGCAGTTGTGAGCGTCCATGTGGTGTGACTTTCCTCACGGTCGCACACCCTGTACGGCATGTGGAAGCTCATAGCATTTCAGATGCGTGTCGCCGCCCGAGACCCCGGAGGGCACCGCGGGTCTGCGATCGCAGCGGAAGCGCGGCCGTAAAAACAGCCGGTGCTGTCCGGGGCCGCAGGCCTCGTCCTGTCACTTCTGAGATGAAGAGAAAGGGCAGCGTTTTATGTTTGTTGACATAACTTGAACCCTGAAACTCAAACCACCTTATTTTAAAATGCTTCATTTACCGTAGTCAGCAAAACACCAACAAACCGGGACCGTGCGTGTCTGGAGAGCGGGGTGCCGCCCCCCCGGACCCAGGATGTCCCCGTTCGTTCGGGCAGTTTATCCCGGGCTGCTTTCCTGGCAGGAGGAAAAGCGATCCAGCAGAGTATTCAGGAAGCCCTCGGTAGGAAAGCAGTCCCTTTTGCAGTTCCGGGGGCCGCCGTGCTGGAGCGGCACTCGGGGGGTCTGTGTTAACGCTGATGGGTGAGACCTGGGTTTATGGCGAAGGCCGTGATTTCTTTTTCGAGGCGGTCGCATTGCTGCCAGCCTCCGAGGCGCGGAGATATGTAAACACAGGAAACGCAGACGGCTGTGATTCCGAGCCAGGTCAGCGTTGCTTTGTCATCGCAGACGTGTTCCCTGAAAGCGTTTCCGTGTCAGAGCCTGCTTTCCTTCCCCGACGGCCCCCGGGTTTCAGAGTTGACCCGAATGTTCGGAAAACCAAGTGTCTGGTCCGCGGGCCTTGGCTCTGCTCCTGCTCCAGGCGCCGAGGGCGAGGACGGAGGATGGGGGCACAGAGGCTGCTCTGGGCCGAAGCCGCTAGTGACAGCCCCACAGGCCCGGGGGCAGGGCCTGTGCGAGCACACGAAGCTGTTTCTCTAGCCAGACAGGTTCCTTTTTTCTAAGTAAGACCTTGGAGCAAACCAGAATGATCCCCCGACAAAAAAGAAAAAACAAAGGTAGGGGAGAAATGATAGGCCAACACAGAAATAGTCTGTTTGGGCCCTAGCCAGTGTGCTCAGTGGATAGAGCGTCAGCCTGCCGACTGAGGGGTTCTGGATCGGGGTTTGGGGTCTGATTCCAGTCGAGGGCATGTACCTCGGTTGCAGGCTCCTCCCCAGCCGGGCCCTGGTCCGTCGAGCAGGAGGCAAACAATCGATGTGCTTCTCTCACATCCCTGGTCGGTCGCAGGAGGCAAACAATCGATGTGCTTCTCTCACATCCGATATTTCTCTCTGTCTTTCCCTCTCTCTTCCACTCTCTCTAAAAATCAATGGGAAAATATCCTCGGGTGAGGATTAAGAAAGAAATTCTATTTTGTG